TAATTTCAGATTTTAATACAGAAAATTAGCAGCAGTGCTATATTTTTCTACTGTAATTGTTTGGGATTTATAGAATTCTGCATCTAACCTGGATGTTGAGAATATCAGCGAAAGTATGGATGGGAGTGACGACCCTACGTCAGTTCCAGAAGATTCTATCCAATTATCAGTTGGTCCTTTGATACAGGATTGCACTGTCTCTATTTGTCCTAACAGCAACGAAGTGCCCGAAGACGAAGCTGAAAATAAAATACTGGGAGATGAAGCGGCATTATCAGCGGTTTGTCAATTTTTCGAAATTAACGGATTTTGGGCTGTGGGTTGCGCCAGTCGCATTAAATTCTCGCCCATCGTTTTGCATTTTTCTATAACTTCAAGACAATATTGTTAGCACATCCCGAGTTATTTTGCAGTTATTTTCGAAATTTCAGAGCGCGTTGATGGGAACATTGATGCGTTGGCAGCATTATTCACCAAATTATGAAGATCAGTTTGAATTGATGAAAGCTCAGGCTGGTTTAGAGGGATGCAACCTAGAAGAGGTTTCGTTCATTATGAAGTTGGTCTCCAATTTCTGAACGGTATCGTCTTCCGGATATTGTTAGATAGGGCTGAGTTTGCTCACAAGTAGAGGAAATCCTTTACAAGCATTTTATATCCCTTAGAAGCATTTTATCCTTAGACCTGCTCTAGAATATCTTTTAGAAGCATTTTCCGAATAAGACTTGTATTTCAGTTGCTGTTTTTACGGAGAGTTTTGGTTTTATCGTCTTGAATTCTGAACTAACCCCGTTTCAATACAAACTGTTTCGTTCGAATGTTTTGAAGTTCACGTAAAAAGCACCGGATCTCAAGTTTACTTGTAGAATCTGTGTTGCGTTTTACGTTTGTATTTCGTATTAAATAAATTATTTCCATTGTTTCTGGAATGCTCCTAGAAATAGTTGTATTTCGAGAAATTTACAACATGATGATATAGAAAATATCTTTAAAAGATGAATTTAAAAATGGACAGTAAAAACAAAAAAACATATATTGAAGAAACAGAGAACAAGCGGCGAGAAAATCTACTACCCAAGGTTTTTGAAGCAGACTGAACGGGATAGTTAGTGAAATTATTAGGATCTGAACACCTGAACTGTAATAAAAAGTACCGCTAACCATTAAAAAGTGAATAGTATGCAATTCCTCACTAAGTATCCCGGAAGTCGGCATTTACTGAAAAATGATGTCAAGAACTAGGGTGTATACCCGTCCGCCTTACCAACAACAATAACAGTGATGTCCGATTAGAGGAATGAACTTCGATATGCTTATGCTTAGTAAATTGGTTTAATTGATAAGTAACGCTGTACTACAAAATACTTATAATGCTCCGAATCAGAGAAGCAGCGAAATACCGCTGCAACATTACCTACACAATAGCCTAAACAGAAATAGAGAACTTAAATACACAGCACCGATATGTATCTCATACTTTCAGAAAAGTATGTTTAGAAAACGAAGAGAATAGCTTTTAAAGCGAATGTAACTAAATGAATTAAAAAGTCTCAGAAGACGACACTTGGAAATAATTGTAATGTAACGAAATACAACATGCAACCCGCATTTTACAGATCAACGAATTTTAGACATTGAAATCATTCCCTCGAAAATCATATCAATTTATCACAAATTTTGATCAGAAAGTATCCTGAAATCGAAGAAATGGAGAAATATTATCAATATCTGACAGTGAACCTTATATTTGCGGGAAACATGTCAACTTGCTGACTTTTCATAGTTTCAAAATAAAACATTAAGATACAAAATCAGTATACAAAGTATAAATAATAAAGTGTTCCGAAATTGTTTCCAGATGTTGCGAAACACGCAGGCAACATAGGAGAGCTCGAAGAGCCGTAATAAGGCACGGTGTATTTGTAGTCAGTAACATAATATTTTAGCAATGCGGCTAAGTGCATTTATAATGTTACTCAGAAACCAAAACGCAAAGATTTAAGAGAACGAACAGACTCCCATTATACTGACAAATAAAATGATTTTTACTGCATTGCTTAGAGACGGAAAACTAAAAACAAATGAGAATGCAATTAATAAACTGCTCCTCCTCCACCCGTTTCAAGAACCGAGATGAAACATCGGTGTGCATTTATGGATTATAGGCATAATCGGACACAATTACATGTGAACTTTGACGTTACAATGAAAGAAACGCCAACTTTTCTAATTACTTTAAATCAAAAATGGATGAGTCTGATCCATGTTGCTTATGTCTGAAAATCCACCGCAAGGAACAAACTCTTCCAAAAGGCGATCTTCCCTCCGCAGGTTAGTGATTTAAAAATACTACAAAGGAAATTACTATTGGGACCTGATAATATTACTGATGTTAAAAATGAAAATAGCTAAATGCCGACCATCCCAAGCAGTATAATACATAGAAGTCATTATGAACTGGAAAACACGACTAGTACTAAAATGCCTAACTATACTAAAAAAGGAATAGATAAGCAAATTTAATGGCTGTCGCTGTAAATTATTCGGAAGCTCTCTACAAATAATGGACAGGCATTAATGCTCTATAGGCAGAAAATGACATGTAATAGTAAATTTTCGGAACGGTTAACCTAATGTTCTGGACATTTTTAATTAATAACTATCCACTCATGGAAGAATCTCAAAAATAAATCATAATATGCACAGATCAGTGTCTGATTCATGATATAGAAAAAGTACAACAAACCAAAATGGAAAATCTACAGGAAAAGCGAAAAAACACGATGTGTTCGGGTATTTCCTTTTTCTTCGCTCTAAAGTTAAAATCACTTGCCAGTGTCAATCTTTTTTGTGTTGAACTGTTGTTGCTGTTTCTTCAATGGCTTTTGTTCCGGACATATTTTCCACCGAAATGTGCCGACTGATCTTATCAGCTTTACGCCACAATGTCATCTCCTCAAAATATTCGGACAGTTGGAAGTTAAATTTTCAAAACTTCAGTTTCAGTTGATTATGAATAAACCAACGACACCTATTTACAGGATGAAGCAAACCTATAACTAACTGCCACAGTGACCACTTTTTTCATTTACGAAAGCTGAGTGCTAAACCATATCAATGTGCAATGGGTCATTAATATCAGATACTGCATTATGTGGATAAACTTCACTGCAAATATATTTTTGCAGAAATGTTATGGTAGAATGCCTTACTTGCTGCTTGAAGTAACGACGATCTTCTTCATCAACCAAAACGAGATTCAAGTAATAGCGAACTGAGAATTTTTTACCAACATCACGCATCGTTGGAGTCAAATCATAACCAGCAAGAAAAAGACGTATTGGAATTGATTCACCTGAAGTCATTTTAGTTTATTTCAATTACTTAAACTGCTCGGAAAAATATGGCTAGACAAAAACAATTTACAAGACTAATACAGCCTCTAGTGATAGATCCTTAACAGAGCATCCCACCCGACTGAACGCGTACAGTAAAGCTTACTTGCTGAAGACGAGGGAGAAAAACTATAAATTCTGAAATAAACTCTAAATTTTGCTATTATTATTCACATACAGACTCAACTTAGATATAGTTAAATACATATGAGTGTTAATTAAATGGCAATTGGTACTGTAGGTTTAATCACTAACAGCAGTAACACGTTGGGCATAAAATTATGGCTATAGTACCTCCAAAAAAAAAAGAATGATAACTCCCACCTCTCACGGGTGCACCATCCATTATTTCGTATTTCGCTATTGTTTCATTCTCGTTGAAAACATTTGGCGAATTCCCTACTGTTTCTCGTTTGATTATTGCAATTTCCATAAACTTAATTTTGATTCGAACTAATAAGAAGTATATCTTTCCAACAATTACATCCTTCAGGTGATATCTGCAATATATCATTTTCAACACAGTACAATGTTTCTGACTCCGCGTTTATGTTACAGTGATCTTTCAAAAACTTTCCTGTTACAGTGATTTTTCAAAAAGTCCGACTCACACTCTGGTATATGCATTAGGCAATTATTTCGTTCAAAAAAATACAAATAATTGAATGAGTTTATAAGAACTTGAAACGTGCATGTGCTCATGTATTTCTAACAGTTATTTCATCATATTATCTGGATAAACCTATCCACCCAAAAAAAAAAGCACTTACTTGGAGCGATTATATTCGAATTCAATGTGCAAGGAATCCTCAATACCAACTTCCATTTTAATACTGTTATTTGTATCCGGATACGAAGAAAGCGTATGCACAATAACATCCATTTCACGTATTATATCGGTTAACCTTCGCACAATGACCACTCTTAGGAAGTAGCTGAAATAACATATAACCAATACTTTACTCTTACACTGCTACTAGAATCAACTCCCTGAAATTCTTAAATTTCGCCGAAATAAGTCAACGTCGTTGATTATTTAAGTTTGAATGACCTTTAATTTCTGCTACTATAAATGTCCACTATTTGAGGTCATATTGAAATGAGTTCACTACCAGAAAATTGAGATACCTTAATTAAAAAAAGAAAAACTTCGAAGTATTTTCAAATGTGTCTTCGCTTTTCTTTTCTTTTCCACAAATTTGCAATAGTAAAATCCTTATAATAAAAACAACATACCGCAACTTCACATTTGCACCAACATATGATTCATATGGCTTTTCAACTTTTGGAAATTCAAATCGAAAAACCGCATTCTGCGTTAATTCACCTGGACGAGCCAACTCTTTCATCAATGTTATAAAATCGTGCTGATTACCGCGATCATAATTTAGCTCTAAAAGGAAAATATCTACAGAAATTTTACGATCAAACATACATGTTATGAAGGGGCCGGGTCGCAATTGAAAAGAAAAGGTTTACGATCGGGAGACAATGGACAACTTAAGTTAAGTTTGCATGCTACTACGTTTTTAAATGACACCTGAAGTGTTTCAAAAACAGTTTACGTTACCATAATGATGAAAGTTTCCGAGCTGAAACTCATGTCTAACTTCAATTAATTTCATAACTTTTGACAAAACTGAGCGCTGCTTGTCATTCCAATCACATCATCAGTGCACTAAAAAATTACTGAAAAGGCTTCCAGCAATAAAACTTCTCAAATAAAGACTTAACCATGATACTTCCTATTCATTAAAAAAACACCGGCTAACTGCTGCTAGAAGATAACTGTACAAAATAAAACGAAATTAAGAAAAAACAACGCACCAATCTGCCCAATAAATTCAATTCTTATTCCCTGATGATCAAATTTTTTCTTCACTGCAACTCCCACTGTACCCGATATTGTTTCACCATCATAAAACAGAAAATGTGTTTCCTGACCTCCTTCCTCACATCGTATTTTGGCTACCTGGAATAACCATCTACGGTATCCAAAGCGAGAATCATACCACTAAACCACTCAGCGACCTTGATGACCACATTCTATCTTACCAAAGTATTTCTTCAAATGATGATGCATGCAACTCCCTCACAAAACTTAAAACCAAAGCTAATACTGCGAGAAAAGACAATGAAAAACTAACTTTCCTATTATCCGCATCATCCAATTTGATCGAAATTTCCGCAGCTTGACCAAATCCAAAGAAAGCCTGAAAGATAATTTTCCTTCATTATGAAATATAAGGCATGTTTTCCCCAGCAAGGCATAACAATCAATTAGCCCATGAAATACATCCTAAATTTAAATAAATGTATCAAATTCTTACCATTCTGAAAGATAGCTTTCCAATACTTCCTGCTCAGAAATAATAGATTTGATAATATTTATAAATAAAGTTATAAGTGCATAAAATAAGAGAAATATCGAGGGAACAACAACATGTTAAACTGAAAATTGCACAACAGATCAAATAAAAATTATATGCAATCGCTTAAACATTCCCAAGATAAACGCGAACGATAAACTAATAGTCTAAGTCAAAACGTAAACGAAAGTGAACGACTTATTCATCTCAATTTTAATAAGCCTTTTAAAATAAAAGAAAAAGACTTTTTGATAGTTAAACTTCTTCGAAAAACTCAAAGTACAGTTGCATTCAGCATTAGTGAATCCGCTAATTTTAAGCAAACAAGTTATATAAAATTACTGGACTGTTGCAGTAAAACAAAAATCCTTGTTGGTTTCATTAAATGGTAAATGTATTTGGTAAGGATATAATGAATAGAGAACACTACTAATACTCATCAATACTTATACTTACTATGATAACCCAAACCACTCAAATCAAATAGAATCCTGTAAATTTATGATGCAAACGCAAATTCACAAACCTGTAAATTTATGATGCAAACGCAAATTCACAAACCTGTAAATTTATGATGCAAACCCAAATTCAGGAACCTGTAAATTTATGATGTAAACCCAAATGCACAAAAACCCACCCGATCCCTACCCCTAAATTCCCGCCGCCCTCCTTTCGTCACACCGATCATCCGAACGCATTAAGGAACTGCGAACAAAACATGGCCCGAAGCACTATGGTGAGGTCCACTATGCGAAAAATACTGTGTCAGCATGTTATTTCATATTTCGTTTACATGAAATGAAAAATTTTTGTATTGCAGCAGATCTAATCGCAAACCTTAAATGCGATTAGAGTCGTAAGTCTTTTTTTTTCCTTCTAGAGATAAGGTTTGATTTGCAAGCACTGTGTCGAAGGTTAGGCTAGTTGTTGTAACTCGTACATCAAAGTCAACTAACATGAGGTTTTCGATCCACTGAATAATGGATTGAGTTCACTGAACTTTTGCTTTTCTATAAAATCAATTCAATGAAACAAATTCTGAAAATGCAATCCACATTTGATAAATGTCATTCGTTTTCTGGTTTGCTTAAATTTCAAGAAACGAATTTTGGTTCCTAACTGCTGTTTCACATCACTAATATGTTTCTCCAGATGTTTTCCTGTTAGTATTGAAAGTCTATTTTACAGTTTCCGTGAACTATTTTACTGTTTATATTCTACCGTTTTATTTTACTATTTTACCGTTTTCAGTCTCAGATCGTTTACCTCCAAATAGACCGAATTATCATATCATTTTTTCAATTAAAAAATTTCCGAATAAACCAGAAACGGAACTCAAAAACACGCACAAAAAAAGTTTGTGTAAGCGGGACATTACTAATAGCTGATATCATAATCCGGTTGTCCGGTATATGCAGTTACATCATTTTACCGGACAGATCAAACTGTGAACAATTCCGATTAATGAAGTCAAATTATCCTTTTTTCCCGAAACATCTAAGATCTGCTTCTTCCTCTCTCTTTCCCTTTCCTTTTCTTTTCCTCTCCTTCCCCCCTCCCTCTCTCTCTTTGTCAAATTTGTCAGTTTTCCGCTACTTTGTATTTTTAAAAGAAAAAAGTTATTCATAAGCTATTCTCTTAAAAGTCAAAAAATCCTTGCACAAATAATTTATTTTGTACATCATTTGGACATTTTACCACAAATGTGACGATTCTCTCAATCTCTGTAACATTGTCTGAAACAAAAACTTATCAATCTCTATCATCTCTTCAAATTATGAATTATTTTTCACTTGCATTTTTTATATAACTTCTTTATCTATGAAGCGTAAAAATTTTCGAAATTCCTAACGATATCATTGTTTATACTGCAATATTTTGTTATTTTAAAAATATTTGATAAATTGGAAATATAAGTTTTCAAATTTTACATTCTGTTTAAAAGATATATGGATACTTTTCCATAATTTTTATTTCGTAGTGATAACTTTAATCACAATTTGTATATTATCAACAACATACATCAAATATATCTGGCAATTACAATATCACAGCATAAACAGAATATGACAATAATTATATTTTAATTATGATATATTGGCGAAAGAATTTTGTCTAAATAAAAAAATTACAAAGTTGAATTTGGAATTTTAATATTTATTAAATTCGAAAAATTTGAAACATTATCAGCAATTAATGCTAAAATAGTTTTTGTATCCATAAAGGTTCACTTCAAATTGTACTGTGTTTACAATCATTTTCAAAATTTGCTACCATCTAGAGAAGATGAAAGCACGATGTATTAATAGATAAATTTATGCGCAAATATGCTTAGACATTTGGAAACGCTAAACAAAAAAAAAAAAGAAAAAAAATAAAAACAAAAAAAAAATACAAATATTTCAAATCATAATTTAATCAGTAATACCCGAGAAGAAATTTTGTTTAACATTAATTATACACAGTGAAAAATTATAAATTATAAGACGAGATCAAACAAAAACAACAAAATGTTAAATTGAATTTAATCAAATAATTAATAGCAACGATTGAATATTATTTGCTTTATTGTTTAATCAAATGAAAAGGAAAAAAATTTGTAAAATTAAAAAAGTTTTTAACCGGAATAAACCTACCAAAAATATCAGTTGTTAACGAAATTTCCAGTTTACATGGCTTCTGGTAATAACAGAAGCCATTTCCGGAAAAAGCTAATTCCAGCATTATTCCCCACCACAAATCATCTCATTGAATTTGCTTACCAAGTGGAGATTATAATGGAACAATTTGCTTAAACTTAAAATTATATCCCTAAATTTAATTGTAGCATTTACAGAATACTGTAAATAGAAAATAAAAATAGAAAGTTTGGAGTTTTTAAATTCAACAACGTTAAATTAAGTAATTTTTTATTAAAGAATGATTTTATTACTAATGAAAGAATGAAAAATACAAAATAATGGTTTGATAAGTATTAATTTAAAAAGAAAAGAAAGGCACTGAAATTTGACTAATGATAAGTATGCCAATGAAATCGTTTATTAATAAGCTTAAAAAATTGCTCATTTTGTGGACGATAAAAATGTTCCAATTTTTGGATGACATCAAATCGTACATGTGGATGAGCACGACCTTTTGTTTTACCAAGACAATGTAACGTATCATCTTTTCGTAATACACATGGGAAACCTTTTAATGGATCCGTTGCAAAATTTGATTGTCGAACAACTGCAATATTTCGAATTTTTAATTTAATCAAAGTATTTTTTTCTTTTTTAACGAGAAGAAAAAACGGAAAAATATAAATAAATATAATTTAATAATAGATTAATTAAATTCAAAAAGTTTAACAATGATAATTTTATTGCTCTAAATTAGCATATCACATGAAATATTTCATGCTAATTTTATGCAAAAGATGTAAATGTTAGAAAAAAAACAAAAATTAATTAGATCAGTTCAAAATTTCAATAAATTCTATAAATGAATGTTAAAATGTAGCATTTTTAGCAGAAAAATAAAATTTTAACAAAATTTTTTTTTTTCAAAAATTCTACCAGGTTTAACAGTTAGAAATCGTTCGACAGCATAAATTTCAGCAGCAGGATTTGTAATTAAACGTTCACCATCAACGAAATGAATTTGATGAAGCGGAAAATGTTGAAGCCACCTTCGGATATGTCTATGATAAATTCCGATCCGTATTGCACCCCATGAAGCATTCACACCATCCTTCATACCTATTAAAACATTGATCATAATTTCACACTTAAAATTTCCAATTAAAATTCAATTTTATATAGATAATCTTTTTGAAATTTGAAAAGCTTCCAATGTCAACAATACCAGTTGCACTCGATGAACTATTCCCGAGTACCATTTCCTCAAAACTTGGCATTAAAGTAGTGCGTCTCTTTTTGCTAATTGCTTGTGTATAATCTAAAATTTAAATTTTAAACAAAACTACTAAAAAAGAAAAAAAGATATTTAAAACAGTAAATTTATTTTTACAAATATGGATAAAAATATTTCCTTCATTAAAAGGAAATATTTAAAAATTTTTATATAAAAAAAAAGCAAAAAAAAAATTTGGGTTGAAATTTGTATAGGTAAATTGTTGAAAGTTTTACATTTGTTAGAAATAAAATTTCATTGTAATTACCTGAAATAGCTCGGGTGATCGGATTTCGTACAACAACAATTAATTTAATTGTTGAATTTAAACTATGAACACGTCCTGGTGCTGTTTTACTTACAAAATATGCTGGTGTTTTTTCCACTGTTATTTCATGAATACTTGTTTCTGGCATCCTATTCCTGAAATACTGGATTGATATAATTTTTAATAATAAATAAAAACAAATTATTGTATTTATTATATCAATATAATATCTAGCTAGATTTTTCGTTTTATTTTTTTTAATTTTTTCATTTTTTATTAGAATTAAATTAATGATTTGAAATTGTGTATGATTGCAAATAGCAATAAAATTTGTTGAAATTTATCGCTATCATTATGAAATTTATCACTATTATCGCTATCATTTATTATTATTTCGTTGTTTGTTATGAGTTTTTTAGAACAATATTTAAATTATTTTAAACTGATCATTTGTATTTTGTTAGTTTCAAATTAACATTTATATATTTGTATATATATTTTTTAATTTCCAACCATTTATTTGAGTACAAAAGTTTATTCCAATTTCATTCATTCACTTATTTCTCTTCTCATTATGTATCTTTTCCATTTTCTCATTATCATTTTGTATTTTGCGATTTTAAATATTTCCCAGAAAAAAAAAGGTGACAAAGAAAAAGAAAGGACGAGAGAGAGAGAGGAATGTGAAGAGTTAGAATTGGAGAAGATTTGTAATAAAACAGGATTTGAAAATAAAAAAAAAAAAAAGAATATTATAACAAATAGTATTACTATTTCCCTAACTAAAGAGTAATTTACGGAAATTGTCATTTAGAAACAATAGGAGTGATTTGATAGATGGGTGATTTGGAATGAATATGAGAGATGAGATTGTCATTTAGTTGTCAAATTTCTGGTTGACAGTATGTCGGTCACTTCAAAGAACAAAAGTTTGGCCTTTTACTCAATGTTAGGGGTCACCAACCAATCATCTCTTTATAACAGTAAACCATCTTCTACAGTTACCCGTGAATATGATGTAATTGATACTATCCTTTACATCTCTTCCTCTTTCTTAATTTTATTTAGTGTTACCTTTGTCGTCTTTTCTCCTGCCCTGTCACCTCCTTCATCCCCGCCCGCCACCTCATCTCTTAATAATTATCTTTCTAAGCCGCCCTGAAATCATCGTTACATGTCTATATGGTATATATCAAAAGTTCCAACAAGATCTTACAAATTACGTCACAATAAGCTTATCCCACCATAATTCTTTGTAATTAACAAATACCGATTGCACATATTGTCATTTAGCTACTATTTTATTTTATTAATAATATCGTAATTATTTTAGTAAACTATTATCATTATTCATTTCACTGTTATCACTCATGTCACTATTATTAATCACTATTATTATTATTATTATTACTATTATTATTATTATTATTATTATTATTATTATTATTATTATTATTATTATTATTATTATTATTATTATTATTATTATTATTATTATTATTATTATTATTATTATTATTATTATTATTATTATTATTATTATTATTATTATTATTATTATTATTATTATTATTATTATTATTATTATTATTATTATTATTATTATTATTATTATTATTATTATTATTATTATTATTATTATTAT